GATGGGTTTCAGAGGGTAGTGAATGCCACACTGTTTAGCCCATCGAGGGCCGGCTCCAGGTTTTTTGCCGCCCCAAGCCGCCCCCCCCCCCAAAGGCTGGAGTGCTGCTGCCAAAGCAAAAGAAAGGGCCGGAGTGCTGCCCCAAAGGGCCAGAATGCCGCCCCTTTAAAAGTGCTGCCCCAAGCACATGCTTGAGACGCTGGTGCCTAGAGCCGGCCTTGAGCCCACCATAGCAAAAGCACAATCAGCTCTGACTTCAGTAGCAGAAATGGGATCTTTTCATCAGCATGTGTGAGCAGAAGTGTCTGTTAGTACAAGGTTCAAGAAGCAGGACTTCAGGGTTGCCAGAGCCAACTCCATTAAGGACTTTAATAACCATTAATTCAAATGATCTATCTGTCACTGTACAGACAGGCAAAGTAAAGAAGGTAAGAGGCTAGCAGACCTGGACTCTAATCAGAGCTCTGCCAGCTACTTGTAGTGTGACCTTGGCCAAGTCACTTGACCTCTGTTTCTGAGAAATGTGGCTAGTACTTTATACCATGCTCTGAGCTCCTCAGATGGAAGGCCCTGCGTAAGTGCAGAGTTCTATTTGATGGAAAATTTCCATCAAAGTGAAACTGATTAAAGACTTCATGTATAAATTTTACATTTTTAGTGAAGAGTTTTGTTTTCCCACCACTATTCATCATTTTCCAGCCTTTGTTTTGCAGCTCTCTCTTCTCCCTCTTTATCTCCGCAAGTCTTTGTAGAACTGATAGTAGAGGAGAATCTTGGCCTGGTTTCATAGGCTTGATTAGTCTATCCTGTGACATCATGCATCACGCAATACAGCTGCTATTTCACGTTTTTCCCTGTGAGCCGCTATTCCTTTTCCCCTCAAGGGCTGCTGCTGGAGTCTGCCCAACTCGTCTTATGTGCCAGACAAACAAGCTTCTGAGAAAGATGAAGTAGGGACATTTTTCTTAACAAATCAGAGCAGTGGGTCGCTATTAGACAGAATGGGGTAAAAAATAGGGGAAGTGAAAGCAATTCTAATTGTGCTTCCAAATTTTTTAACATTATTCTCTACATGCAACTTTCCCTGGAAGCTCAGTACTGTAGTCCTGTTGTCCTCCCCCCTCCCCCCCCAAGGTCTTGTCTACACCAGGTATATCGGTATAATTATACTGTTAAAGTTACACTGATCTTTCTCCCCATATGGATGCTCTTTTACCAGGGGCGGCGGCTTCTTTTTTTTTTTTTTGGATTTAGCTTGTACTGACATAAGCAAGACTGAAAACAAGCCACTGTTTTTCCAAATAAAAAGTATTTTTACACGAACTGTACAAAATGTGTCCATATGGGGAGTCACATTAGTGTAACTACTGCTGTATAATTATACCTGTGTAGTAGTGCTGGTAAATTTACCTGTGTAGATTTAATAAGCTATTTTATAAAGAATGAAAGAGCAGTTATTGGAAACTGCTCAACGATCTTAATCTTGGTCCCTATTCAACCAGCTTCTAGACTTCATTAATTACTGGCTGAACTTCATACTCATCCCAGAGTGTTGCTCTTGTTATGCCAATGTTTTATGACTTTTTCTTTATCTTTATTCCATTGTTAAGGAGCTGTTTCCTCACATCCAGGTTGTGAAATAAAGTCTGTGGTAGACATGGCTTAGGTTATTTCTACTCTGTGATTTGCAAGGCAGCCGATTAGAGTTCATTACATACCCTTAACACCATATGCCAAATGCTTCCATGGGTACTGCATCACACAGGGGTTCTTAACGTGGCACTTTATAAGGGCTGTTTCCTGTTTGTCTCCTGCTCTTCCTGATCCGTGTGTGTGTGTGTCTGAGTTAATGCAGTGGATTCTTTAAACAAAACTATTCTTAGTGTATGTGCAAGGTGCCTCAGGATTCATCACCGGATTTGGTCCACTGGTTGAATTATTAGCTTGCCTGGGCTGGGCTGGATATTGATGGAGAGCTCAACATGAACCCTGATCCATGCCCCCCACAAAACTATTAATTTGGGGCTTTGTTTGTATGCAGCACACACACTGAAATTTTCTATAGTCAAAGCCCACAACTCTATGCTATAAGGAAGTAGGGTCTTTTGTCTCTGCTGTTCTTGTTTCATTGGAATACTCTGGAGAGCTGTGTGAAATAACATATCTTACAAGATCCATAAGTGCTCACACAAGAAAGAACACGAGGGTGAGGCAGGGAGGGACCCTTGATGAGCATGCACCCATCAGCCTGCATAGAACAGAATGACTAAGGTTTGATAAGTGTTACTCATCAGGATGGGACACAGAAACTGGAAGAAACCTACACTATTTGAACTCTTCTTCTGAATGGTCTTAACTACAGAGGATTTCAGTGTGAAACTCACTGGAATGAGTCTGTACATTTGGTGTTAGATTGTTTGCTTCTTGGGGAAGGGTCCATTGCTCCTTTTTTGTTTGTAAAGTCCTTTGATTGCTTTGGGTGCTATATAAATAATTAACTAGAATTCAAGTTTCACTTGCAGTGATTACACTGTAGAAGACAGAATTTTCCCTCCGTTATGTGATCGAATGTATAGTTTCAACACTTCCAAGCAAGCTGATGGTAATGTACAATGGCAAATGACTCACTATTTGAGGCAGCATTGTAGCAGCACAGATTTATTTTCCCCTCTTTCAGATATTAACATCTTTTTCTAAACACTTAAGGCCATTCTAAAAATACAGCAAAACGGCTCAGTTGGTAACTGCTGTAGTGGGCACTTAAGTTCAAGAGCAGCCAAGGTTCCTGAGCTTGTCTAATGACTGAGGGAGGTGACTACTACTATTAAGCTTTTTGCTTAATTAAAATGTCTTAAGCTGTTTGTAGGACGTAGCTCTCTTCTAGATGCATTTTTGCAAAATGCTTTTGTTCCCTATATTTTTAAAGTAGCATTCAAAAAAGCCAATGGCAACAGTGAATACAGGCATGAGCAAAATAGCCCAAATAATTGTTTCTCTTTCCCCCCCTTCTTTTGAATATATGGTACTTTCTATGACTTTAAGAATCCCAGTGAGTCAAGTCTACTTTGACATCCAGCTAGATCTGTAGCTCTTTGCTTGGAAGTTGGAGGATAGCCTAACTCTTCCAACAAATGTGTTGCAGGAATTGCCAAGCAGTAGAGAATCTGTTTCCTCACCCTCAGTGCTATGTTTTGTCAACTGCACAAAGCAGCCCCCCTCTGGTACAACTATCCTCTACCATCCTAAATGGGTCCTTCTATTTGAGGGGCAATTGTTCACTTGACAAACACTTTTTCATTCCCATTTATTTTTTAATTTGAAATACAAACCAACACAGTCCTGCCTCATTCTGTCCTATCTGTTGTGTACCAGTATCATCTATGGGATCAGTACAACTTTAGAAATGGGATGTGAAATCTTCCACTGTAGAGCCACAAAAATTATGTAAACAGTTGTTTTTTAAAACAAACCAAAAAAAGTGAAAATGTAGGTTGCATCTACACTGGGAGGTGGGTAGGAGGTTAGGTTGATGTAACCACAGCACTCAGAGTGAGAAATGTTCATAGCCTGGAGAGACATAGCTAGGTCCATCTAAGTTTTAAGTGTAGACCAGGCCTTAGTAACAATAGTATATTTAAAAATGAATCTTGCGGGCTTTCCTCCACCATACCACTCAAACGACTTTTACCTTCCTCTGCAGCATGGGGCACGGGTCAATCGCAGGTTTAAACTAGTGTAAATGGTGGAGTCTCTGTAATTTGAAGTCTTTAAACCATGGTTTGAGGACTTCAGTATCTCAGCCAAATGTTAGGGGTCTATTACACGAGCAGGTGGGTGAGGTTCTGTGGCCTGCAATGTGCAGGAGGTCAGCTAGATGATCCGGATGGCCCCTTCTGATCTTAAGTCTGAGTCAGTGGTCCCCAAACTTTTTCAATTCCGCCCACCTCTTACCCAGTTCACACACCCCCAGGAGCCGGGGTGGGGTATAGGGTGAGTGGGGCAGGACGGGGAGAGGGAGCCACGCTTTTAGTGTCTGGGCGGCTGGAACTGGGGCTGGGACCGGGACCGGAGCAGAACTGGGGCCAAGAGTGGAGATGTGTGGCTTTCCCTCTCTGCCCCCCGAGGGGGCTGGTCCAGGCCTGCCATGGCCCCCTGGATGTTCCACTGTGCTCCCCTAAGGTGGCGCGCCCCACAGTTTGGGGACCACTGGTCTGAGTCTATGAGAGAACAATTTGAAATAGTCACTATCAAATACTGTAGATTCTTTACAATAAGTTTTACAATATATGAATAGGTGTGTTTTTTTCCATAGTGAATATATTGGAGATTTTACATTTAAATATTCCTGTGAGGGGTTGTGAATTTACCACACAACAGCATTTTGCTTATGAATCAGAAAATGAAACATTCTCTTAAGAAGTGAAACTGCCCTGTCTACTTTTATTTTCCTACCTGACTGAAGTTAAAAAAGGAAACGCACTATTAATGGTGAAAAGTCAGTTATTTAAATTCTTGGAGTTCTAAATCTAGGATGGAGTTAGGAGTTTTATTGTAAACTATGTCTGTTTTGGCCCAGTGCCCCCTTTAAAGGTTGGTAAAATTTTAGGGCTAAAACTTTTCTCCCCTACAAGGAAAACTGCATTTCAATATTCGACATATTTGCAGATATAATGAAGAGTAAATTTACTAACTGTTCTGAGTCTGAGATTTGACACTAATATAGTACAAGAGCTGAATGTGCAGAAGCAAAAATGTGATCCTTAACAATATGAACAGTAGGTAAATGCCTGTGCCTGAAATTAAAAATGAAGGAAGACTAACATGCCTTGGTATCAGCCACCTCTCCTGCAGTCCCTACTCTAGATTAACATGACTATTTTGATATTTTATATAACCATACAGTCAAAATGGAGCCAGAGGAGAGCTAGTTCCATCTCACAAGATGGATTCTATAACTGTAATATCACAGCCAATTCACTTGACTTTCTTTTGTTTAATAGTGTGCCGATCCAATAAAAGTCCCTGGGTTTGTCTGACTTGTTCAAGTGTCCATTGTGGAAGGTAGGTACAGCACATATTGATTTGGAAATTACTTAACCCCCCTTTTTAATACTCTTTTCATCACCTTCCCTCTGCTTCTTGTTCTGTTTAAAACAATCTCCCTCCAAAGGATGTCTGAATGTCCCTGTTCCATTGTTCCTCCACACCGGAATATAGTGTCAAAGGAGCTATTGCAGTTCAGCGATTTATACACGTATGCTGAACACTCCTCTCTACTTCCCATACGTGTGTGATGAGGTATTTTTCTTTTTATTTAAAAGCAAAAATAGCTTATTAATGTTGCAGTAGCAATTAATATGGTGTGTCAGTGGAACTGTTTCAAGCAGAAGACACAGTGGCAGTGGAACTGCATTTTTTTCTTGTAAAGACCTTCATAATATTTGAAATACTTTTATATTTACAAAAGGAATTTACTGCATTGACTGATTAGTAGATTGATTCAAAATAAAGCTGCTTCTGCTGTAGCAGAATAAAAACAAATAGGTATTTCTTGGTATTCTCTAAATCAAAATCTTGCCCAGCTGGTTTTGTGAGATAGCAAGTATCCAGTTTAAACTGAAAAGATCTTAAATGTGTTTTCAGGGTACCTTAGAATAAAAGAGTTTCCCATGGCTATATTGACAGCAGCTGGTGCAGGTGTGTCTTTATCTGATTTTGGTGTACATTGAAATACATAGAAGTATGTACATACACAATGTAGTGGTTGAGATGATAATTCACACTTCAAAAGACCTAGTAGAAATTGGCTGGTAAATGTGTTTTGAGATATACATGTCTGAGGTTAGTCTAGCTGGTTGTCACATTCAGACAAAGACTATGGGAAATAAAAACACTTAAACTGAGGTCTACCACATGCACTGCCAGGTTTTTATCCTGGAAAACCACCATTAAGCTTAGTGAGTTTCTCTCTTAGATAGATCCCAGTACATTCTATTTTCACTTTACTTTAACTGCCTGTTCCTGTAGAGCAGTGTTTCCCAAACTTGGGATGCCGCTTGTGTAGGGAAAGCCCCTGGCGGGCCGGGCCGGTTTGTTTACCTGCTGTGTCCGCAGGTCCGGCCGATCGCAGCTCTCACTGGCTGCGGTTCGCTGCTCCAGGCCAATGGGAGTTGCTGGAAGTGGTGGTCCGTACGTCCCTCGGCCCGCGCTGCTTCCAGCAGCTCCCATTGGCCTGGAGCAGCGAACCTGGACACAGCAGGTAAACAAAGTGGCCCGGTCCGCCAGGGGCTTTCCCTACACAAGCGGCGTCCCAAGTTTGGGAAACACTGCTGTAGAGGTAAAAATATGGTAACTACTTGAATAATTTCTTTCATATCAAAAGCTTCAGCACAAAAAAACCTCTTTGATTTTCCTGTATTTCAAAAGCTAATAGCTTGGAGGGAGGGAGATGGGAAACAGCACCATATTATGTGAATGATCAAAGGCTGAAATCCATAATTTGGAAAATTTTACTCATTCTGTGTGGTTTTTTCTGTTGTTACCAAACCTTTGTTATATGTAGTTAATAGGATTTGAATTAAATTTTTACTCAGTTATGTTAGATCTTAAAACTGCTGTCAACCCAGGAATTAAACATCTTTGAATGAGAAAGCACCATCATTGTGGTCTGGAAATCTCTAGGATGTAGGGAACCAGCAGGATCTTTTGTTCAGGTAACATTTAAAATACAAAAAGAGAAAATAGAGCCACCCATATCTTCACTTGAAGTGCCACATTGTTCTCTCACCTAGATTTGGGGAGGAGAGAAGAATTACAATGCAACAAAAGTATCTCTTGCATTTCCAAATTAAAAACTTTTTTTCCCTATTGTCGGACAGCCTTAGATTTATGGGAGCACCTCAAATTTTGGGAGTGAAAATGATCACCTTTTCACCTGGTATGCTTTTTATATATGAAGGGTTCTACAGACTTTTAAATTGCTCTTCATTATATGACCTCAGGCCCAGTGCCTCCCAAATTCATGGACTTCACAATAAAATACAAGAGCTTCAGTTTTAAATCACTGTCTGCAGAGCACTGAAGCTTGTATGTAGAAGTTAGTGTTCAGTTAAAGCAATTGCAGACATGGTGAGCACTGGAAGGAAAGAGAGCCAGGCTGTAGGAAAAGTGTACTGGGGAGGAGAGGGATAAACTAAATGCTGATGTCTTAATGTGGACAAGGAGAGCTAACATTCTTTTCCTGATACAAATATGTGGCAGGTCATAAGAGACTCATCTGCAGGGGTTGGCTTAGAGACCAGTGGGGGGTGTGTGTGTGTGTGTGTGTGTGTGTGTGCGTGCATGCTTGAGAGTTGGGGGGAGAGGAGGAGAGATTTTAAAAGGAGCTTAGCCAGCATTTATAATTGCAAAGTCTTTCATATTTTTTTTCATAGAGGTGGCTTGCATATTTAACACACTAACGCTGCATTTGGGAGTACCTTTTTTTTTTTTAAGACCACTATATCTTTTCCCTTAAGCTTTGGTTAAATAACTGTTTAAAATATGAAGAGGTTTTTTTGTGGTCTCTTCTTTCTTTAAGATATGTGAATGGCCATGCAAAGAAACATTATGAAGATGCACAGATTCCTTTAACCAATCATAAGAAAACAGAAAAGCAAGAGAAAGTTCAGCATACTGTGTGCATGGATTGCAGTAGTTACAGTACATATTGGTAAGTAAATATTTGCAGCATGTCAGTTCATGACATTGTTATATATTCAGATGTGCAGGTATTAGTAACCCATTTGGAACTTAGAGAAACATTATATATTTTTTAAAGTCATAGTATACATATCCTCAGCCTTGGCTGTTTTGAAATAGAAACAGTATGTGAAAGCTCTCTGCTTTGAGATGTATTTTAGATCTGTAATTAAAGCTAGATTCCTATGTTACAAGTGACATACAGGAGGTTTTTCAATGTGTATAATGTGGATTTGTTTAGTTGTGGCAATTTTTGTATAGAGCGTATCTTTGGAATGCAAATAAGAGTACCAGTCCATTCCAGTTCCTCATTTCATAGAGCTAGCCAGTCTTGCACAGAATAAACATTTACAAATGGTTCAAGTGTGATTATGGTCAGAGGAGTGAGTGATTAAGTAAAAATGGCAAATTCTTGCCCAACGGATCTGCTTCCTGTGTGTGTGCCTTTGTGTCATCTTCTCTGCTGACTTTCTGGTGGAAAGACTAGTTTTTCCTGATGGAAGTTTTGCAGAGCAATACAGCTATGAGAGAGGGAGCTAGAATCTACTTGGGTGCGAAATCAAACTGTCAACCAAATTCAAATAGCAGAATCTTTATAAATGGGGATATAAGAGGCAGAACGCAGTCCTGGCTGAGTTTGCTCTGCTAGCAATAGCCCTGTAAACTGAGCAAACAGACAGCAAAGGCAGGGAGTGGTGTTGTGGAAGTGATGCTCACCATCTTTCTCCCTCCTCCACCCCATGCAGAATTGTTGACTGCATCTGTTGTTTTTTTCCTCTCGGATTCAGCATTGTTGCTACATATGTGATTGCTCAAGGGGAAAGGCAGAATGGGATTTAAATACCTGTGTAGTTCTGAATGTGATGTTCTCATAACTTTAAAGGACAGATCTCCTCCTCTGAATAAGATGAAATTTTGGGCAGGTGACTTAATATCCATGCTCTGATGCCTCAGGTGTCCTGCTGTAAGAAGGAATGGTTCCATATTAAATGTCCTCAGTGAACCTTGTATTAAGTGGTCTCAGCCAAGAGAAATTGTTTAGTGCAGGGGTCAGCAACCTTTCAGAAGTGGTGTGCCGAGTCTTCATTTAGTCACTCTAATTTAAGGTTTCGCATGCCAGTAATACATTTTAACGTTTTTAGAAGGTGTCTTTCTATAAGTCTATAATATATAACTAAACTATTGTTGTATGAAAAGTAAATAAGGTTTTTAAAATGTTTAAGAAGCTTCATTTAAAACTAAATTAAAATGCAGAGCCCCCCCCAGACTGGTGGCCAGGACCCGGGCAGTGTGAGTGCAACTGAAAATCGGCTCATGTGCCACCTTCGGCACGCTTGCCATAGGTTGCCTACACCTGGTTTAGTGCAAGTCAGAAAATTAAGAGTTAAGGCTTATGTAGTACATGCAGCAATACCAAATGCTTTATATGAATTGATAGGCAGAGGAGAACACAGTTTTAACAGTCTTAGGTGGAGTTTACTTCCATTTATATTTTATTTCTCTGCCAAATGAAGAGCATATGGCCCAGTGTGATGATGTATTGAAAAACCCTATTGTATATGCACAAAGCAGCAGAGTTGGGGTTGCTGTGTGAAGATTAAGTCTACATTTCCTGATTTACACTGTTAACATGTCAGTCTTAATGTTGCAATGAAGTTCTTGGCATTACATATTCTGTACTCTGCTCATCATCAAAGTAAGCATGTGGATAGGAATTTGATCTGGATAATATTTGGAATGTTTGCTATATCTTTTAATTGCGCAACAGGTTTGAAAACAGATATTTCAGGTGCTGTTTTGCAGGACTGTTTTATTGTCTATATAATCTGTCAAAATATGCTGAGACTTTATGAACTGCATATCTGATCTCACTGTGAAGTTTCAATGAAATCTCAGAGTGAAGCTGTCTGAATATTTCATTTTCCTAAACAAAAGGCCTTAAGCTCAGAGCTGATAAAGGAAATTGTGAGATTATATAATGTGATCTCCAAACACAGAACTATGAAAGTGGTGCAGCCCTCCTTGTGAGAAAGGTACCTGAGGTAGTGTTTTACGGAGTCCGTTTCTAAAATGAAATACATTTACAAGCTACTTATGAGCTCACGCTTACTGAGGCTCAGTGAAGTGTGATAGGATACTTGCATCAGTAGTAAAAGAGAAACAAAGCAGCATGCAAAGCTTCTTCCGCAGTAAACTGAGTAAAAGATTTGAGTCATATTATAGATGAATTGGAATTAAACTAAATGTTTTGCCCCGGGGAATTACTATTGCACTATAATTCACTAGGAAATGAAGGTGGCGTTTTGTGCAAAGTTATGCAAAGCTGGACGTGTTACAGAAGCAGAATTCTTCTGCTTTCACCAAAAGGCCTCGTTGCTTTCACTCTAGCATTCGGAAAAGGATAGCAGCGTCTGGTCTAATGCAGGTGTCTTCTAGGGACATTATCAAAACTGATTCCATAGGCCATTCAGCGTGGTCAGCATTTTATTTTGTAAATCTCCTGGAACATGTGGGCGAGAACCAGCATCCAGTACAGAAATTCACAGTGCATCAGTTCTAGTTCTATACAGTCTTTACTTCAAAATACTTGTGATCAATTCCAATTTATATTTTGTTGTTGTGGTGCTCATGGAAGAGAGAAAAATTGGACTAGACTCAGGCTGACACTATTCAGATTTCTCTATGCTCCTGTAACTATTTACTTCAGTCTGTAGAACAATGACTGTTGCTCAACTAAAGCTTACCAGTTTATGTAAACTGTTAGGTGGAATCCAGTTGTGATTAACTACTGCAATATAACGCTTTTTAAAATGTTACTCAGTGGCTTTATAAACGTAGGTTTCAGAGTAGCAGCCGTGTTAGTCTGTATCCGCAAAAAGAAGAGGAGTACTTGTGGCACCTTAGAGACTAACAAATTTATTAGCGCATAAGCTTTCGTGAGCTACAGCCCACTTCTTCGGATGCATATAGAATGGAACATATATTGAGGAGATATATATACACACATACAGAGAGCATGAACAGGTGGGAGTTGTCTTACCAACTCTGAGAGGCCAGTTAAGTGAGAGAGAGAAAAAGTTCAAAAGTTTTTTTTTTCTTTTTTCTCTTAATTGGCCTCTCAGAGTTGGTAAGACAACTCCCACCTGTTCATGTTCTCTGTATGTGTGTATATATATCTCCTCAATATATGTTCCATTCTATATGCATCCGAAGAAGTGGGCTGTAGCCCACGAAAGCTTATGCGCTAATAAATTTGTTAGTCTCTAAGGTGCCACAAGTACTCCTGTTCTTTTTATAAACGTAGACAGTATAATGGAAATCACATTTAGGTGACACTGTGCCTTTCAAGTAAGCAACCGTTTAGGATTAATGTTGGTGTGTCATGCAAACAGTGTGGCTAGCCACTAGTATTCAGAAGTCAGAATAACAAAATAAAATCTTGATATTTTACTTCTGACTCTTAAATCCGTGGGCACAAAGGGTTTGTTTCCCCCTTGCAGTTTGTGCATTGAGCTTTAAAGCTGAAAGGCTGTGTGTGGGGAAGGCTGCCTGGCTTTTTGAAAGCGGACTTTGCTATTTCGTTTCCCTGGGTGTAGTAGCAAAGAGGGCTTTCATTTCACTACTATGTCACAAGCCCCCATTTAGCCTGCAGGAAGGCTCTCCGCTGACCAGAGGGCACATCATCTCGTCAGCTTTTAGGAAGTGCCATAGACGTACACACAATAGGGACAAGGATATTGTAATCATACAAAAATTAAGATTTGGATCAGCAGTTCCGGAACTCCTAAAGCTCCTGAACATTTCTGTCCCTCAGACTGGCGTGCGTACCTAGGGTTTCACTCTACACCAGGGGTTGGCAACTTCTGGCATGCGGCTTGCCAGGGTAAGCACCCGGGCCAGTTTGTTTACCTACCGCATCTGCAGGTTCGGCCTATTGCAGCTCCCACTGGCCACGGTTCGTCGCTCCAGGCCAATGGGGTCTGCGGGAAGGGGCGCGGGGCGAGGGATGTGCTGGCTGCCACTTCCCGACGCCGCCATTGGCCTGGAGCGGCAAACCACGGCCAGTGGGAGCCGCGATCGGCCGAACCCGCGGACGCAGAAGGTAAATAAACTGGCCTGGCCCGCCAGGGTGCTTACTCTGGCGAGCCGCGTGCCAGAGGTTGACGACCCCTGCTCTGCACACCTATTGTAATAATCTTTGTATAAAATATGCCTTGTGACATATCAGAAAACGAACTCCTCACTGGTGAATATTATCATGAAATGTATGTAGTAAAGTTATAAACATAAGCTGAAATTAGGTCTGAAATGTGTTTACCAGACAAGTCTGGGTAAACCAGTTTCTCAAAGACAAAGGACTAGCTGATGCCTCTAGCCAGGTGTCAGGAACGTTGATGGGCAATCGCCTAACAAGTGGCCATTCTTTGGCAAGGGAGGGGGGCAGGAACAAACAGATCTGTATCTTAGCAAACAGCTTAAAACCTCTTTCCCCCTGAGACTCTTTATTCATGTTGTGAGGACAGAGACAAACTTTATCTAGGGGTAACCCTCCGGAAAAGGGAGACTATAAAAGTGAGGGGCAAAAACACCCCAGGGTGGTCCTCCCTATCCATCTTTCTCTCTTTCACCTAAAGACAAAAGAAAACAGCCTTTGGACTTAGGAGCAGACTTTGTTCAGCAGTGTTACTGGAAACATGGGGTAAGGGATTTCACCTTGAACCAAGTCTAGTTTAAGTTTTAGTATTAAGGAAACATATTTTTCTTGTAACCATTTCTGACTTCAATGGCTTATACTTGTACTCACTTAAAACCTTTGCAGTTAAATAAACTTGTTTTTGTCTTTAATCAAAACTAACCCAGTGTTGTGTTTTAAATTGAATTGTGTGGGTAACTCCATTTAAAGTAGCAAACTATTGGATGTTGATCCCCTTAGAGGGGCAATGGACCAGAAATATCTGAGCTGTCCAGGAGAGGGCTGGACAGTGCAGAATACCCATTCTGGGGGGAAATTTTGGACTGGGAGTGTGTTGGGGTCACCTTGCAAGTGGTAACCAAAGCTGGTGGAAACCAGTGTATGACTGGAGGGTGGCTGGCAGGCTGCAGCTATACACAGACACTCAGGGGGTGACCTGCTGTTTGTGAGGGGCCCAGGTTGGGAGCTACAGCAGCAAAACATTGTGAGATTCCCCAGGTTGCAGGCAAGGGTGACATAGAATGTCGCTGGTCTGGACTGTGCACTGGAATGTCATACCCTAGTATTGACATGCATAGCTAAGGTATTCTAAATTTTATTTGTAGTTTGCACATAACCTCGATGTAGAATCATAGACTATCAGGGTTGGAAGGGACCTCAGGAGGTCATCTAGTCCAACTGCCTGCTCAAAGCAGGACCAATCCCGAACTAAATCATCCCAGCCAGGGCTTTGTCAAGCCGGGCCTTAAAAACCTCTAAGGAAGGAGATTCCACCACCTCTCTAGGTAACCCATTCCAGTGCTTCACCACCCTCCTAGTGAAAAAGCTTTTCCTAATATCCAACCTAAGCCTCCCCCACTGCAACTTGAGACCATTACTCCTTGTTCTGTCATCTGCTACCACTGAGAACAGTCTAGATCCATCCTCTTTGGAACCCCCTTTCAGGTAGTTGAAAGCAGCTATCAAAATCCCCCCTCATTCTTCTCTTCTGCAGACTAAATAATCCCAGTTCCCTCAGCCTCTCCTCATAAGTCATGTGCTCTAGCCCCCTAATCATTTTTGTTATCCTCCGCCGACTCTTTCCAGTTTTTCCACATCCTTCTTGTAGTGTAGGGCCCAAAACTGGACACAGTACTCGAGATGAGACCTCACCAATGCCGAATAGAGGGGAATGATCACATCCCTTGATCTGCTAGCAATGCTCCTACTTATACAGCCCAAAATGCCGTTAGCCTTCTTGGCAACAACGGCACACTGTTGACTCATATCCAGCTTCTTGTCCACTGTAACCCCTAGGCCCTTTTCTGCAGAACTGCTGCCTAGCCACTCAGTCCCTAGTCTGTAGCAGTGCATGGGATTCTTCCGTCTTAAGTGCAGGACTCTGCACTTGTCCTTGTTTAAAACTAGATCAAATAGTTTCCTGCAATTAGTCTCAGACTCTCGGCTGTTTACACGCTGGTAGGACTGTGATAGCTGAAAAAATAGCAGTGCCATTACTGAAGCTACCTTTGCAGCCTGAGAGATTAGACACTTCATAAATATCCCACATTTTGGAGACCATACAAAAATACTTAGAAGGAACATTATATGTAAATATTTGGGTGTAAAGGATTTTGTTTTCCAGCAGATTCTGTTTTTTCCCCCAAGACATCAGTCTCCACACATTGAAAAATAAAATGGGATGTAAATCTCCTCTAATTTCTAGTATGTGTTCTAGCTGCAGTTTAGGACACTAGAAAGCAGTGACTTCCTGCTGTAATGTTCAGTCCTTTTTCTGGTAAGAGTAGCTTGTTAAAGGGGAATTTCCCAAGCCAGTAGATGTGCCTTCCTTCTCTCACCGCATGTATAGAGAGGGGGCTGTGTGTAAGAAATACACTCTTGAATACATTTACAAAGATATTTGAAAATCAAATCTTCCCTTCCTTGTATGTTTAGGATTCTGTATTTTGACCCTCATGCCAACTCCTGAAGCAGTAGATAGAGTGCAGCTCCCTGTATTGGGGATGAGAGCATGAGTTTCAGGAGCTGTGTAGACTCCTGAATTTCAGTTCTTAACAGGTAAATGGCTTTTCAGTTTACTCTAACCAGCCACTATGTGCTTACAAGGAGTAGAGGTTTTGCTTCTCAGGCTAGCACAAAATGTTTTCCCCTGCTATGCTCTTCTGCTCTTTTCCTGTGCACTAGCAGTAAAATGATATTTATAAGAAGCCTGCTTCCTGAAGTATAAGATTTCCTGAAGGATTCTTGTAAATCTGTTTGCTCTGTTCTAACATGCATACAGATGACTAGCACAGCAGGAGAAAGAGTCCTGTTCATATATTTGCGTAATATGCTTCTCGTGTGCGTGTTATCCCAGATGCAACTGGTAGGTCAAATTTCTGACTTCTCAGTCTTGTTGTTCTCTCTTAAAGCAGTGGTTCTCAAACTGTTGTACTGGTAACTCCTTTCACACAGCAAGCCTCTGAGTACGACCCCTCTTATCAATTAAAACACTTATTTTTTTATATTTAACACTATTATAAGTGCTGGAGGTGAAGCGGCGTTTGGGGTGGAAGCTGACAGCTCGTGACCCCCCACGTAATAACCTCGTGACCCCCTGAAGGGGTCCCAGTTTGAGAACCCCTGTCTTAAAGGGATATGGTTCTGTTGATTATGCTCAAAACGTAGGTTTTGTAAAAATGAAGCTTTTTTTACATTTGAAGATTAAATGAATGAAATTAAAAAAAAAAAAAAAAAAAATTACACATTACTTTGTGATGGCTGCTGTCTAAACACTTGCTCATGCTAGTGCATGAAAACCAGTAAGTGAAACTGAAGTATAAACTGTGAGTGGAATTTAAAAAGCAGGTGGCATTAGTTATGAAAAGTAAGTTAAGGTTTTTTTTTTTTAATTCAGGAATTTAAGGTGTTAATATGATCAAGGAAATTTGATTATTTTAATTATTCTTAACCTTAACCGTATGTCTCTAAACTTCATTCAAGATTTATAAAGCACCTTGAGGATCTGTGACCTAGTGATATTGTTCAGCATTAAATTTAACAGTTCCCTGGAGCAGTACATTTATGGCTTAAGGCCATTTTTAGCAGCTATGGGGGCCAGGAGAGACTAGGCTTGGGACTTAAAGCTGAGATGCTAAAAATAGAAAGTATATAAGAGGGGAAAATGCCATGCTAAACCATATAAGGAAGTATTCTTCATAGCCCCCACCCTGAACTACACACTTTATCCCATACAACCTTTGTTAAAAGCATACTGCACATCTGCAATATGCCAAGTGGCACATAGTTCAATCTGTGGTAATCCTAATGATCACAAATTAAAAGAACATGTCAATATTCACCTGGCATTTAGGTAGAAATCTCATCATTTCTTAAACTAAAAAATTGTAGATTGGATTTTAAACATGATTTCTATTTTGATGTTTCCATTGTGCTATTGTTCCAATGCTGCTGTTGCTCCTTTTTTTTTTTACTGGTTTAACTCTAAACTTACCAGTTTCACTTTTGTTTCTAGTCAGTTTTATTTTCCACTCTTTCTGTAGTAAAGTAGTGCTTGAGTTCACAATGGCTTAAAAGAACTGTCCATTTAATTCTGAAGTACCATGAAAACATTTGTATTGAAAACAGGCTTTCTAAGTCTCTTTAAAAACAAACAAACAAACAATCAATAAACCATTTTGTGTCTGAGTCTCAAAATCAGGGTTTGGACTTACATGAACCTGAGAACTAAAGGAACATTTAATTGTATATTTAGTGGCAGGCAGCCTGTTATATCCATATATTAGTGGCATTGTAGTTCCTTCATCTGAGATGAAATGTTCTGTTGCTGTTTCATTAAGTTTGGCTTTCATTACCTGTTTACAGATGTAGGCTGTTACGGAGTCAAGGTAACTAATGTCCCCATTCAGGCAGGAGTATGGGCATGTTGGTGCTAGGAACAACACAAGCCACCCCAGCATCCATCCACTCCATCCTTTCCAGTGATTCAGAGTTGTGATGTGTGTAACTTGCCCTAAAGTGGTGGGCTCTGTTGGAAGAAACAAACACAGCAGCACCCAGTTAGTGTGAGCAGGCAAGTGAAACTGACCAATGTAAGCAAAGTACTTTTACTTAAAAAAGCATAAATGAATGAAAGGTAAAGCAAACTTAACAGGGCCCTTCCTTTTTCATAATAGGGTGTCACTGGTAATGTAAATGGAGAAAACCTGTTTCTTTATCAGTTTCCTTATATTGACAATGGCCATTCTGTGGCTGTATATTTCATACTTGGAAGTGATAATTGGGTTATTTTCAGTGTATGGAAATCTTAGTTGTTTTAAGAAATTTGAGTGAATTTCTTCTCTTGCATATAGCATTGGCAGAAATCCTGTGCAAGCTGATCTTGTGGATATCACTTTCTGCAAAAAGGTGCTCTGCTCCCTTCATTTTTCAACTCCAAACGTACTTAAACTACAACAGGGCAAGTTATTTATATTTGAATTAAGGCTAGTAATAGTTCAAAAAGTCAGCAAAATCTCAAAGATTAATGCAGTGAAAATATTGTGAATCGTTGAAGTGTCTCGTGTAGACACTTTGACAAAGCACTGATTCAGACAAGCAGGGGAGTAACTTGAGCTGATTATTATATATTCACACTTTTTAAAAAAACAAAGCAAGTCTTATACTAGAGGGAAAAGGAGAGAAATGGCTACAGTTCAGAAAGTAAATATTTTCAAGGTGACCCTGTCAGCAGGTAGGGGATCTTGGGGGACAACTACTGCACTGGTGGGGTGCAAAATAAACTTTATTAAGAAAATGCAAAAATAGGGAAAATTTAATAGTGAGGGATATAGGGTTTGTTAAGGTAGACAATTGGGGAGGGGTTTCTTTTAGTAAAGAGGATAGGGGGTTTCAATAGTGGGGTCCAATACAGTTGGTAACTAATTAACACTGAAGTATAAATGTAACAGGTAGCTAACGGTTTCTATGCAAAGGGCGTGTCACAGCAGCATATAATCAACTAACAGTTATGGGTAAAATGTGTTAAATAACCAACAACTCTAGGTAAAAATATGTCACAGTGGTGTAAATGTAAAATGTGAGGGGTATTAGAGAGAAAAAGGGTAACCAATGGGGTTTTATGCTAGACTTCAGTAATACAATTGAGGTCTGGCAGCAGTAGGAGCAGGGTGAGCACCTGGGGGGAAGGGATTGAGAGAGAGAGACAGACAGACAGACACAGACAGGCTGCAAGTTTAAACAGCAGAGAGACAATTATACAGAACACAGCAAAATCTTATCTATGATTTAACTTAACCAAGACTGCACAAATTGGCAAGTAACAAAACACAATGCAACAATTCTTTAAGCCTAACTTACAGAGTACAATGCAAGCAATTTTCTAAACCTAATTTAACCACAACTATGCAAAATGAAATTACAATTTATCTAGACTAAAGGCTAAATCTAACCTAATGGGTGCCCTTTATACTAGGAGTAGTTCCAGAGGGCAGAGTGGTGTGTGCCCAGGATACAGCTTCAAGGGGGGGGGGGGTGTTTAACTAGTGGTGGCTGCACGCAGGCTTATTTCCAGCAGCAAAGGCGCTGTGGAGCTAGAAGCAGATTACAGATACAGACCAAGGAGTTAGCCGGCAGCTAGAACAAGGGGCGTGTGCAAGAGGTTTTTCCTTACCAATCCCCAAAGCAGCAGCAGGAACAGCAGTTTCAGCATCAGAGGACGCAGAGAGGACTCGATTCGCTTACAATAATCAGGAGATCTCCAGGCACAAATTCCTTGTTCATGGGAGGGGAGTTTAAAAATGAGGGTACGTTCAGAAACAAACAAGAGTGGGGTGAGAGCCCCGCAAAGACCCCTAACTGATCAGACCAGGTGGCAAAGCAAGGACCTTCTCCAGGGGTCTGATCAGAAAATGTCTGGTTTTAAGGGCAAATTCAGGCAGTTTCCCGCCAGTAACTTTGATTGGTTCCCTTAATCCAGGGGAGGAGAGAAGGCAGGGAAACTGCAGGTAGGCACAGGACATGTCTGGGCAAGTTCTGAGTCACAGGTATGACTCATGTGCTCAGCTATGTGGCCACTTTAGGTCTTGCATACCTGGGCAGAGCACCCTACACCGACCTGGGTCCGAACAAAGAAGCTAGACAAAGGAGCGAAAAAGCCCCCACCTCCCTGAGCAGAGCAATGGCTCCAGTCAGTCTGCACAAGCCATTTCCATGAGCAGGGCCAGGCTGTGACTTTGGTCAGTTCCATGGCGGGCCGCGGCCACTCAAATCCAGCAGGGGGACAGCTGTAACAGACACAAGGAAATAAATTTAAAATATAGAAAGTGCCTACTCTTAAGCCCTCCTCCCTAGACTTAATTATTTGCCTGCTTCCCTGCAGTTTCATACATCAA